ATAGGTCTCCATCAGGACGGAGAGCAGGAACTGCAGAGAGCCCCCTTCTGTGGCACAGGTGTGCAAGAAAGGATAGGCTACCACTACAAAACAAGCATGCAACCATGCCACCTTGCCCAAACTCTCCTCTCATTTGAGGAAGAGGCCTTAAACCTCTGAGGGAGGCAATAATTTGTTGCTTCTGGGGGTGAGATAGATACAAAAACTGTCTTCCTCGCGGAAACATAAGAAAACTCTCACGGGCCCCAAATCCTGTACCAGTACATAGCAGAGGTAAGCCACAACTAGAAAGAGGCAGGAATCTCTCTTTCACCCATTATTTGCCACAAGGCGAAGTTTGGCTGCCAAAAGCAGAAGAGAAAGGAACATTGTCAAAGACCCACTCCCAAGGCACCTGGACTGAGACAGGACCAGGAGGACAGAAAACGCCTGTATCTACCATGAGCTTAGGACTGAGTAACAAACAACAGACTACTGCTGAGGAAGGGATCAGAGCATGGAGAGAGACCTCCCTCTGTGGCACAGGCAAACGAGACAAATGAAAACTGAGGATACAGACACTGAGAAAAACCCTCCAGTACCCCAGGACTATTTCTAAGCACAAAGTTACAGCAGCCCACTGAATTTCAAGCTTGTGGTACACTGAAGCTAATGACAGTAATAACAAAACTCAAGCCTAGCTTAGCTCCTGACTGTACTGACTGAAGCCTCCATACTCAGTAAAGATATAGAACACTTGAACAAAATTGTCAATATACTTGACCTAATTGACATGTATAGTACAGTAACAGCAGAATGCTCATGCTTTCCAAGGGCATGTGGAACATTCAACAAGATAATCTGAATGGCCTCACACATGTTTTAAAAATTAAATTCTTTATTAAAAAATGTTCCTGTGAGCTTCCCTGGTGGCGCAGTGGTTGAGAGTCTGCCTGTCGATGCAGGGGACACGGGCTCGTGCCCCAGTCTGGGAAGATCCCACATGCCGTGGAGCGGCTGGGCCCGTGAGCCATGGCCGCTGAGCCTGCGCGTCCAGAGCCTGTGCTCCGCAACGGGAGAGGCCACAGCAGTGAGAGGCCCGCGTACCCCAAAAAAAAAAAAAAAAAAAAAAAGTTCCTGCAAAGAAAACTCCAGCCCCCAATAACGTTATTGGGAATTCTACCAAACATTTAAGGAGGAAGTAATATCAATTCTATACAAATTCTTCCAGAAAACAGGAGAGAAGGGAACACTTCTCAACTCAGTTTAAGAGATCAGCATTACCTGATATCAAATCTAGACAAAGATGTTAAAGTAAAACTATAAACCAATATCCTTTATAAAAATACTCACAAAATCTTCAACAAAGTATTAGCAAGTTGAATCAAGAAATATATAAGGACAATGCATTATAGCCAAGTAGAATTTATCTTAGGAATGCAAAATTGGTTCAACAATCAAAACCAAATAGTATTATTCACCATATCAACATATATTAAAAAATCACATGAGCAGATACAAGAAAAGTATTTAACAAAATTCAACATCAATTAGTAATAAAACACTCAGAAAACCAGGAATAGAAGAGAGCTTCTTCAACCTAACAAAAAGCATCTATAAAACACTGCACTGGTGTCACTAGCCAGTGTAACAAGGCAAGAAAAAGAACTAAAAGGCACACTGATTGGAAAGGAAGAAGTAAAACATCTTTATTCACAAATGACACATATACTTGGAAAATACTAAGCAATCTACAAAAACGGTACTATAACTAACAAGTAAGTTTAGTAAGTCCCCAGGATACATGGTAAATATACAAATATCAATTTTATTTCTGTATACTAACAACAAGTAATTGGAAATTGAAATGAGAAAAAAAGTCAGCATGTTAATAGCATCAAAAAAACATGAAATACTTGGGGAAAATCTTAATAAAATATGTGCAATATTTGTGCACTTAACTATAAAACAGTGATGAGAGAAAATGCAGATAAGAATAAATGGAGACACAAAGCATGTTCATTGGCCAGAAAATTCAATACTGTTAAGATGTCAAGTCTCCCCAAATTGATCTCTACATTCAACATAACCCCAATACAAATCCCAGTAAGTTTTTTGTAGTAATTTACAAGATAATTCTAAAATTCATAAGGCAAAGTACCTAGAGTAGTCAAAACAATATTGAAAAAGAGAAACAAAGTTGGACGACTAATTACCTGATTTCAAGACTTACTATAAAGTTATAAAAATCAAAATAGTGTGGTATTAGCATAATAATAGACAAATAGATCGATGGAACAGAATAGAGTAAGAAATATTTGCGCATGCACACATGCACGTGTGTGTGTGTGTGTGTATACTAAATCAATTTTCAGCAAAGGTGCCAAGAAAATTAGTGGAGAAAGGATAGATTTGTCAACAAATAAGTACTAGAAATAGGTATGGTATTAGACATACACATGCAAAAAACAACAACAACAAAAAGCTTTACATTACATCATATACAAATATTGACTTAAAATGGATTCTAGATCTAAATGTGCAAGCTAAAACTAATAAAACTTCTAGAACAAAACATAGGAGAAGCTTTTTTTTCTTTTCTTTTTTTTAAACATATGGAATTTATCGTTTTCTGGTTTTCCCTCCTGACATGATCCATTTATTTTTTTTTATTTTTATTTTTTAACATCTTTGTTGGAGTATAATTGCTTTACAATGGTGTGTTAGTTTCTGCTTTATAACAAAGTGAATCAGTTATACATATACATATGTTCCCATAGCTCTTCCCTCTTGCGTCTCCCTCCCTCCCACCCTCCCTATCCCACCCCTCTAGGTGGTCACAAAGCACTGAGCTGATCTCCCTGTGCTATGATACGGCTGCTTCCCACTAGCTATCTACTTTACGTTCGGTAGTGTATATATGTCCATGCCACTCTCTCACTTTGTCACAGCTTACCCTTCCCCTTCCCCATATCTTCAAGTCCATTCTCTAGTAGGTCTGTGTCTTTATTCCCGTTTTACCCCTAGGTTCTTCATGACCTTTTTTTTTTTTCTTAGATTCCATATATATGTGTTAGCATACAGTATTTGTTTTTCTCTTTCTGACTTACTTCACTCTGTATGACAGACTCTAGGTCCATCCACCTCACTACAAATAACTCAATTTCGTTTCTTTTTATGGCTGAGTAATATTCCATTGTATATATGTGCCACATCTTCTTTATCCATTCATCTGTTGATGGGCGCTTAGGTTGCTTCCATGTCGTGGCTATTGTAAATAGAGCTGCAATGAACATTTTGGTACCTGACTCTTTTGGAATTATGGTTTTCTCAGGGTATATGCCCAGTAGTGGGATTGCTGGGTTGTATGGTAGTTCTATTTTTAGTTTTTTAAGGAACCTCCATACTGTGGAGAAGCTTTTTGAGACCTTGGGGGAGGCAAAGATTCTTAGGCAGGGCACAAAAAGCACAAATCATGAAAGAAATTGATAAAAATGTATGTGTTCTAAATTTCTGCTCTTTGAAAGACCCAGTTAAGAAAATGAAAAGATAAACCACAGACTGGGAGAAAGTATTTGCAAGCTGCATATATGATAAGGGACTTATGCCATATATAAAGAATCCTTACAATTCAACAATATGAGAACAAACACAATTTTTTTTAATAGGCAAAAGATTTGAACAGACTACTTCACCAAAGGAGATATAAACATTTGATAAGATGCTCAATATCTTTAGTCATTTGGCAAATGCAGTTAAAGCCACAATGGGATATCATTATGCTCCTACTAGAGGAGTGTAATTATAAATAAAAATTAATTAATTAAAAACTGACATCAAGCACTAGCAAGGATGCAAAACAATCCTTATAACTGCTGGTGGAAATGCAAAATAATACAGCCACTTTGGAAAAGTTTGGCAGATTCTTATAGACATACACTTACCATACAGCTCAGCAATTCCACTCCTAGGTATTTATCCAAGAGAAAAGAAAACTAAAAACCAAAACAAAGGGCTTCCCTGGTGGCGCAGCGGTTGAGACTCCACCTGCCGATGCAGGGGACACGGGTTCGTGCCCCGGTCCGGGAAGATCCCACATGCCGCGGAGCGGCTGGGCCCGTGAGCCATGGCCGCTGAGCCTGCGCGTCCGGAACCTGTGCTCCGCAACGCGAGAGGCCACAGCTGTGAGAGGCCCGCGTACCGCAAAAAAAAAAAACCAAAAACCTATACCAGAAAACATGTATTGGCTTTACTCATAATCTCTATAAACAGAAACAACCCATAGCTCTATAACCAAAACTGCCCAGCAACCAATGAATGGATAAACAAATCGTAGTACATCCAAACAATGAAATATTACTCAACAATAAAAAGGAACAGAACTACTGAAATACCAACAACACGAATGAATTTCAAAAGCATTATGCAAAATGACAGAAACCAGGCACAAAATTTTACATACTGTATGATTCCATTTATCACATTCACAAAAAAAAGGGAAAGATCTCCTGATCAATCTCTGCATCCAAAGAACTTAGCATATTAGAAAATACTCGATAAACGCCCAGTGGACGGTTAGACGGGCAATCATTGCAGGGAGGGTAGAGTGCAAGAAGGTGATATATAGACGCGAAAGCCAAAATGTACCTGGGGGCTCAAACCCACCTACAGGATGGAAAAAGTAGTCCAACCTACCTCCACTGACGCCAGCAGCTTAAAAAATTAGACCCTGTAAAGGACTACAATATGAATGAATAGCCTCAGCGGTTCTCTGGCCTGAAGAAAGGCGTGACGTGCCCCACCTTTCTTTAAAAAAAAAAAAAAAAAAAAAAATCTATCACTCTCACGCCCGAAGCTGAGCAAGTGGAGCTTACACCTGGAAGGGAGGTTTTTCCCTGCCCAGGAGCGGAGCTGGAGAGACCCGAGGCGGGCTTCGGCTTAGGTCAGCGGGGTGCAGAAGGAGGCCGAAGCACCGCCACGGCCCCGCTGGTCTCCATCCCTTCCCACTCAGCCTCACTTACCCAGGCCTGCCGTTCCAACTGAGCGTACAAATTGGAGCCCTTGAGCTTTTGGACTATCTGGGCAATAATGAGAGCGAGATCCGACTCCTCCTGCAACATTTCCCCTGTCCTAGCCCGCCAAGCAGCGGGGGCAGGCCGCTAGCGGGGAGAGAACCGGCTACGTACGGGGTCCCAATCAGGGCCAGTGACACTTCTCGGGGACCTTATTACGCAGGGACTCCTCCAGCGGGCGTTACCAGGCAACTGCCGGGCCGTGTGTCCGTTCCTCTCTGGTCCCCCCCACGCCTGAAGGTTCCAGCCCCTGCGTTCCGCTGGCAGAAAACGACCTGCGGGGTGGGGGGAGGGGAGTAGCTTTTCACTCCATTGTTCCTGCTTGGTCTGTTGTTGAAACGCAAGAGGAGGAGCTCTTTCCTCTAGAGCCACAGCGCCTCTGATGCACCAGGGGAAATCAGAAAGTTGTGTATTTTGTGTTTTATTATAAAGGAAAATAATAGGAAAATATTGTAAAGGAAAATAATAACCTTCCAATCTCTACAGAACCAGGGCAGTGCACACAAAGACATTGCAAATGACTTCCAAAAATTATGAGGCTGTGATGCTAGCTGTGTGAACTTGGGCGAGGTGCTTAAATTTCAGAACTCAGTTTCCGCCTTAGTAAAATAATACCCAGTTGACAAGATGCTCTGATGATTAGCTGAGGTAACAATTGTGAGGGGGCCTAGTACTATACTTAGCACTCCATTTTTTCCCCCTTCTCTTTCTGTTCTCTGGGGTCTTATGCCAGGAATAAATAGACAGCATCTCCTTATCTAACAGCTACAACTTAACCAAGAAGCATTTATTGATAGGTTTTCTGTGAAGCATTGGCAATTCCAGGATAGCTAAGACATTGTCCCAGCCTTAAGGAATGTGCCATCTAGATTTCTCTTCTTCCATGCAGTCATTCGTTCAATCAAAAATCAATTCAAAATTCATTCAGCTTTCAACCAATTGAGCATTTACATACAAGAAACTGTGGACACAAAGGTAAATAAAACATGGTTCTTGACATCAAAGTAACATAGCAAAATTTTTTAAGAGAACTAGAAGTAGCTGATTTAATTAGTTGAATGGCATTCCAAAAGCCAGCTAATATAAGGCCTATGGAACAATATATGTATTAGAATAACCTCACCAAAATAATAAAGAATTAATTTCAAATGTGTGTGTGCATATATTTTAAGCAGAGAAGATGTAGATTCCAAGAAAACAGACCAAGATTGCTGCAAAAACTAGTGCATTAAATTTTAATGTGCTTAGGCATCGAGAGAGCTTTTGATTCAATAGGCCTCTGGTGGGACCTGCTAACCTGCATTTCTGGCAAGCTCCCAGGAGATCGTGACCCTGGTGGCCCAAGGACTATATTCTGAATAGCAAAGGACTAAACCAGGTAAACAATAACAATTCAAAGGGACCGGACCTCTGGCATCTATGCACAGTACCCTGGTCTTCACAACACAACTGTTCAGAATATTGTGATGGTAAATACAAATTCCAAATAACCTGTTTGGTCAGGTTCGTTTATTAAAACATCTTTGGAATGAGGCAGGCAAAGAAAAAAAAGTACTTAAGGCAATTAATGACAGACTCTACAAAACGTTCTCCCACAACTCAGAATTTCTCAAACTCGTAGATGAGTACATCTCTTCAACTCTTTACAGTCCCTCCATCCCAACACCCCACCCATTCAGGAATCTCCGGCACAAACATCACTATGAACAAAAAAAGAAAACTGTGGAGAAAGTTCTTTTGAGATTGAAAAGGGTGAAGTGATTAATAACTAAAGAGATAACTAAAGGGAAAGAAATGAAACCATGGAGCCGAAGAAAAGGCATGGTGCGTCGAGTCAGAAGATGGTCTAGCTTCCCTCCTACTCTGTAGCCTTGGAACTGCATGAGTCCCTTCCGTCATCAGAGTTTCAGCTTTCTCATCTGTAACAAGAGGATAAAATACCCACCTGAGGGGATAGTGTACCTAGTATTAAAAATCAGTAAATATTAAATTGAGATAATTTGGCAAAAACAATGCTCAGTTCAATTGACAACGGAATAGAAAGTACCTAAAGAAATGTAGCAAAACATGTGAAAGTAACCAGCACAATTCTTTGCACAGATAGAGGCTTTAAAAACTTTTCTTTTAAAGAGAAAACAATTTTCAGTCTTAAAGCAGCAATTAAGAAGTTCAGATTTGATTCTGAAGGCATGCCCAAGCAAAAACAAAATTTAATCCTAACATTAAAAAAGTGTTTCTCACATACATAGAAGCGGGTGTGTTGGAGTATAATTCAATTCTAGAATGCCCTCGGTTCTCTGTTTTTTTTCAATTCGATTTAGCCAGACTTTTCAGAACACCTGCTCTGTGCTAGGAATGGCAAGGAATACAAGTAAGAAATGGTCCTTTCTCTCAAGGAATTCTCAGTCCCAAAGGGATTGTAAGGCCAGCACATAAAGAGCTGGAATTGTAGACAGGCCCCTCCCACCTGTGTATCTGGACATTTTATTACTTTAAAGTCATTGAAGGTGCAGATTCCCATATTTATCCCTCAAGGGAGAACTTTACCTTGGAAATTCTTACTCTACCTAGTGTGGTTGAGGATTGGGAAAACACTCTATTTCTGACATGTTAGAGTGAACCATGACCCAGACTAACAAATGATAGCAAAAGGGGTCCAAATAATCTGAATGGTTAAAACTGTACAAACGGAGACAACAGCAAACTAGATGCAGAGAGAAGCCTCCTTGAAATTGCCTCAAATTCGGAGCAGAGGTACTCTGGGCCAACATGTATAAGGCCCTGTACCCAATCTTGACTTTCTCAGACCTGCGCTGCTTTGATTTCTTTTACATACAATGTAGTGTCAGATTTCACTGTGGGTGAGGGGATGCATTTAAAATCACTGACCAGTAACTTCACAGAGGCAAGGGTGTGGACCACATCAAACACACCCTGCCAGCAAAAACAAGGCATGCTTCAGGGTATAACAGAACATGTCCTTACTTTATTCACATGAGTGTGGCTTGCATAAACTCTACAATCTACAATGAAAATGATTTTCAGCTGTTATTTTAGAAGGAGACACTGCTTTTAGCATGTTGTGTCTGCAGAATGGCTTGAATTGTATGTCGTCAGGAATTTACTGAAATAACAATTATTATGTGTGCTGTGTGTATCATGAATGTCACAGATCTCGCTGTGTTTGGGAACAAATGAGCTCATAGGGATATCAACTACCTGTCATGGATATGCAGCCCCACGTGCTAGCGCAAGACCTCAGGCTCCTCTTCAAAGTCTCTTCCTGTCACTCCTGAGAGTTGTTAGGAAACGACACAGGTGTGCTTAAGAAAAATTCTGCTTGTTACCTCCTCTGCTCACTTGGGTGATGTCTGATGCCCCCAAGCCACTGTCCAGGGTGCTGCTTCTTGGTGATCTTAAAGCTGCAAAACACCACAGGTGCTTAAATCCCAAGGGTCACCAAAGCCTTCATGAAAAAAGCCCCTTTGATGCTGTTTGCCACCTCTCTTTACAAGGCAGCCACACCTCATTTCTGAGTCCAGGCTGAGTATCAAACCACGCTATCCTCCACTCCCCATTTTTTTTTTCTTCCTCTGGTCCCAAGCAACTGTGTGTGAAACGGGAAGATTGGGCTACTGGCTCTGTGAGCAATCTCAGGAACTGTGCTGACTCCTTGTAAATTATAAAACTCTCAGGAGAAAATCCAAGTAACAGTGGTTTAAATTATAGGATACTTATTATTAACAACAAATCTGGAAGAGTGTCCCAAGTTTGGTTCAGTGCCTCAGCAACATCATCAAGAATCTGAGCTCTCCTTTTCTTTTCCATTTTGCCATCTTTAGCATGCTGGCTTTCACCATCTAGCTTATTGCTTCAGTCTCAGGATGGTTACTGCAGTTCCAAGTAACATGTTCTCCTACTGCTGCCTACAAAGGCAGGGAGGGAGGAAATAAGAGTTCTCAATGACTGTGTATGTCTCTCTTTCTTGAGGAAAAACTATTTTTTTCCAAGAAGCCCCCAAGAATACTCCATGCTACTTATTGCCTTAAGCTCTCTCACAAAACCACCTCTAGTTACAAAAGACTCTGGCAAGAAATAATTCAGTACTTTATTCTCAATCCTGGGAGAAAGATGAGGGAGAAGGATTGCTTGTTGATGCTGCTATATTGTCCAAAATGACTTCAGTGTAAAATTTTACTATGATATGAACACTTATAAATGAACTTCCCTGACTGATATTGGGGCCAATCAGACTACAAATAAATTAAAACCATTAGAGTCAGGCAATATTCAGATCACTTACCATTCACAAAGAGTTGATTGTGTGCAGTTTAAGACCCAGAATCTAAATTATAGTACTTCTCAATGTAGCAACTTCTCAGTATCATGATGCTATTTTAAAAGCTAAAACCAAGTAAGAAGACCCACTTGTAAAATAAGGTCTATGAGTAAAAGATTATGTGGCAAGAGCAAAATATCTGTAAATGTTATTGTAAAAAAAAAAAAAAAGACAAAAATTGGTGACATGTGGGCTTCCCTGATGGCGCAGTGGTTGAGAGTCCGCCTGCCGCTGCAGGGGACATGGGTTCCTGCGCACGGGTCCTGGAAGATCCCACATGCCGTGGAGCGGCTGGGCCCGTGAACCATGGCCACTGAGCCTGCGTGTCCGGAGCCTGTGCTCCACAACGGGAGAGGCCACAACAGTGAGAGGCCCTAGTACCGTAAAAAAAAACTTGGTGACATGTGAAGAAAGCAGCTTCTGCATAAATGACTTTCTTTTTTTTTTTTTTTTAACATCTTTATTGGAGTATAATTGCTTTACAATGGTGTGTTAGTTTCTGCTTTATAACAAAGTGAATCAGTTATACATATACATATGTTCCCATAACTCTTCCCTCTTGCGTCTCCCTCCCTCCCACCCCTCTAGGTGGTCACAAAGCACCAAGCTGATCTCCTGGTGCTATGCGGCTGCTTCCCACTAGCTATCTGTTTTACATTTGGCAGTGTATATATGTCCATGCCTCTCTCTCGCTTTGTCACAGCTCACCCTTCCCCCTCCCCATATCCTCAAGTCCATTCTCTAGTAGGTCTGCGACTTTATTCCCGTCTTGCCCCTAGGTTCTTCATGACCATTTTTTTTAGAT